AGTCCTTGTTCATAAAGTTTGGATGGGATCTCACCTATTCACTGGCTTGGCAAGAGGGCTAAAACTGCATGAAGATTTAAAAAACTCATAAAGCCCAGGGCAAAGGGGATGCTGAGGACACTTAAAAGACTGACTTTGGACAGTATGTCCACAAACCTGAATTAATAAGCACCCAGAGATGGCAATGGGGATCAGAGTGACATGTCAAGACAGGACCAGAACAGCAAGTAATGCTCAGGCTCAGAGCAGCCTGAGGAGGCTGCTGTAATTTGGCAGAGAGTCTTAATTATGCTGGAAGTCTTTCTAGTTTCTCAGATAGACCCAGATGAAAAAGGTGTTTAAAAACCACTGTGTTACATCATTTTTCCAGGTTACATGTTCTGAGCACTTGGTGATAGAGCCCATTATCTTCCTTATATCTGCTGTTAGTGAGAAGGATTTACAGGGTACTATAGCATGCATTGGATTTCTTTTATGCAAACTCCATCAGACTGCGTATTAAATTGAATAATATTTTCAATATACTAAAAGGGAAATATTATTTGTACTTGAGGATATTGTGGTAGTTAATGTTTGCACAGGGCTTAGAAGTTAGTGTTATATCTATCATTCACGTGATGAAGGTAGTATTACATTTTAGTTTGATAGAATTTGTTTACTAATGATAAGAGATTCTCCTGCTGTGTATGCTGCTTCTGTTAAATGAATGTTTGCTTCCTGGTATATGTAACAGGTGACAATTTGTCATCATGTTACAGTTTATCCTCCTTCAGATGTCTTTAGTTGGTTTCAGTGTAATCTGATGACTGAATATCCTCCCTTTCCATCCACATTTTGAGTCAACTCATACTCAGTTATCACGCCTTTATTCAGGCTGTGGATGAAATTTTTTAAAAGCCACCTACATCCCTTTGAAAAAAAGTAATGTGGACTACCGAATCAGGTAAGGACTTCTGAAAATATTTCTGTAAATTTGGGCAGTGACGGATTGGGTGCAGCTGTGACCTGCATGTGAGAGGAAAGTTAACAGATAGTCAACGCCCAACTGGGAGTGCTAATGTGGAATGAATGCAGTGTCTTCAAATCCACTCACAAAGATCATCTCGTAACCAATGACAAAATATGCCAGATCATTAGGGTACGGTCCTGTTTTCATAGCATTTCCCAGTCTGTGTGGAATTCAGTTCAATTTTTGGATATCTAAGGCACAGAAGATGCGTTGCATTCATTATGAGCAGCCTATTTTAAGAACAGAGACAATTGGAAAGAGCTGAGAGGATGGCAACAAGACTGATCAAAAGGTCGGAAGTGTGATCTATTATATCTCTTTAGACTCAAATGAGTGAAGTAAATCATGGAAATAGGAACATTGGCAATGAGTGCTTTTTGCATATGATATTTGTGGAGACTGCATAAAATTCAGACATTTTGAGGTGGATTTTAAATGGCATAAAATGCAATTAAGTAACTCATTTCAAAGAAAATTGGTGACAAATGTGTGCTTATCCATTTTAAAATCTTCCCTTTTAAATGCAGATAATATATTACGACCCTATGGTTTAATATAGCTTATAGAACCAGGAAGCAAAGAATAAAAAATAAAAAATGACAATTTAAAAGTCCCAATAGGAATATTAATTGAGAGGCAGCATCACAGACAAAAGACATGCAGTTTTCCTCAGCTGCCTTCAAGTCATAGTCACTTAGAAATCTAAGAATCCCAGTGCTCATTTTGGTTTTCAAAAACTTGTGCTTTCAGTCTAAAAATCAATTGTGTCTTGAATGGTAGTGCTTATGGAAGGTGATGTATTTGAATACTTAAATTGTGGTTAGTTCTGCAATTAGTTGTGGGACTAACTGCAGTTAACTGCTTGTGATACAGAGTTTTGGGATGAAATACACCCTTTGTATTCCTCTGTGCATTATGGATTGTTTCATCTGTTTGGAGCTAGGCTATTTCCTAACTTGCATTTGCTATATGAAGTTATTTACATCCAGGGCCAACAGGGACAGCCATGGCAGCTTCGGTATGTTGCAAGAAGACTTAAGTATTAAATATGGTGATCTGAAGGAGATTTGGCCTCATGGTTCCAGGAAGACTTGGATCCATTTTTGATGCAGGAATCACACTGAGGAATTCCTTTGCTCAGGTTGTCCTCCAAGCCCACGTTTTGCTCTGCTGTTTTGATTTTGATGCCAATACTAAAAGGCTTAATGGAGGGACTGAGAAGAAAGTTTAACTCACACAGTGCTAAACTTCAGGTGCCTGTACTTTCCTATGAAAACCATATGTTAAGATTACGTACTGTTCAGATGGTTTCATAGTAAGCACATTTGGGCCTCTTTCCAAAAGAAACCAGCAGTTTAAAGCTCTCTTTGTACATGCATTAAACTTCTACTGTTTCATAAAACAACACTACAAAGCATGTTATTGACAGTTCTGTTCTTGAATTCAGCAAAACTAAGATGGAACATTGGGTAGAAATTCAGTCTTCCTTGCAGAAAGATGTTGCTAAGACCACACTGCTAGACAATGGAAAACATAGGTTTTAATTTATGAACTTTGCCATTTCTCAAGAAGTGTAAGAGTTATAACTGCATCTGATTAAAAAGAAAAGCTGTGCATCAACAGTACACTGTAAAGCATTGTCCTAGGAGGCCACAAGCAGCTATGAACCTTGCAAACAGTTGTAGTAGAGGTATGCATCTCAGAGAGTATAATACAAAATTTCACGTTCACTTATCTTAATGGGATTACATCTTGCAATACCAGGAACTCAGTCGGTAAATTAAAACTACTGTTTAGTGTGTTTTTAACTTATTCTAAGGTAAAGTTAAATAAAGTAAAAATATAGTGTTGGTGTTTGAAGATATCAACCCATAATAACATCGCCCTTTACTTGTGTCGCAAAAGTAATTTTCCTAATATGATAAAATGTAAAGTATTCTCCTTTGCTTGTTTCTGTTTCAGATTTTCCTGTTTAGTAGCCTATGAAGCTTGGCAAATTTAGCAACATTCTCATTATGTGCAATCATGTAATTTGCTTCATCATGAGGAAACTGCTATTTGAAGCTATGACTGTTCGATTTGCCTAATTTCAGTTACACTTTTTAAACCACATATTCTGAAATGTGGTTTCAGAACCATTTCTGAATATTCAGATTAGGAATTACCTAGGAATTACCTATGGACTGAGAGATCTTGGGTTATCTGTAGATCATGTCAGGACCTAGGCTTCAAAGGGCCTCTGGGATGCAGCTCTGTAGCATTCATTGCACTGCTTGAATCAATGTATTAAGATACAACAAGGGTCATATAGCACCACATTTGGGTCTGTTTCTGGATGATGTGTTGAGTCATAAAAAATAAATTATGAACCACTGCCAAAACTATACCAAGAGAATACTTACCCTCTTTAGAAAAGACAGTGGTGTGCAATGGGCAATATGAACTTTTTAAAGTTTAATTTCTGTTGTCAAAAGTAAAATAAGCTTAAAGTTCCTTTGCATACTGACACAGAATCTATACCTGCATCTACATTAGTATTTAGTTTAAAGCAGGAGTGCATCTTGTGTTTTGTTGTTGTTGGTTTTGGTTTTTTTGTTTGTCTGGGTTTATTTTTAGGCAAGGTTCCCAATTGTTCCTACTTACTGCATGTTGGTTCCTGTTGCAGAGCAATCTTAGCTAACACAAATGGGATTCCTTTCAGACGAAACAGAGGATGCACTCTGGGAGCACTTGATGTATTCCAGCCATTAATTGGTATTGAGGTCATGGGACCAGGCTAGAGCTCTTCTGAAGTAACCCACCGAAAACATACGTAGTGCAAACATTAGGTCCGTAGTACCAGCTGCTTCACTCTACAGATCCTATTTGTGTCATTTACTACAGAATTTTTTTAAAGGATCATCAAAGCAGTGAAGAATCAAATATTTTTTGCAGTGAAACAGATCCAAATTTCTTGCATTTTCCACATGAGATAAGGATTTCTGAATTCTGCCAAGTGTTCATTCAATACATTTATATTATCTCATAGGAACATGTAATAAGGTCCTCTTCCTGAATTATTATAAGGAGTCACTTGTACTGCATAAAGTCTTAATTTTTTTTCCTACCAAGCCATCAAGTAAATGACTTTTTATCATTTTCTATTTAACACATGTCATGTTATCACTTCACTGTTTGACTTGTGCATTTTCTATTTTGAATGTGACAGGAATCTCCAATGTACTGGAATAGGGGAAAATTTCATTAAACAGGTCTATTTCAATGTTGGCTTTATCTCATGAATTATAATATCCTGTTGATGAGAAGTGTGTTATTTTATTATTGCTGTTGCAGCAAACCAAAAATGTTTTGAGCTGCCAAGGAAAGGAGAATCTGTCAGGTGTATATTAACAATAAACACCAGTACTGGAGGATTAAACTTGAAGAGAGTTTGCTCCCATAAATTTAAGAACACTTTTAAAATCGCTTCTACTTCTATAAACTTATATGTATTTGCACTGAATATTCTAACTCTGAACTAAAGCTTCTTGATCTTCTGGATGACATGCTTTTGTGACAAATTCTGCATCATAATAATATATTACAATCCTATGTTTTTGTCTTCTGCACCAGAACTTTGTAAGCAGGTTCAGGGTGCAGGGTCTTGCAGCTGTAGAGAAACCTGTATGTGAATTTAGTCCTTATGGAGAAAAAATATCTCTCATTTAATATTCTCCAAGGTCTAATTTAGAAAGAAAGGGGAAAACACACAATACACTGCAGTGTAAAAAAGATCTATAGGGTAATTTTTAAAACGTGGTGCAGTTCTAAATAGTGCACTTCTTTTGCACATTAATCATTCATTATTGTATACAGGATCTTACATATGAGTTCAAAGACATACATATTTTAATCTCATTTGCTTTTGGTTTTACTGTTATTGTCAGAGAGTTGTTTTATAAAATGGTATCAACTCCAATTCACTAAAATCAATATTTATTTAATTTTGTAGTGGCCTTAAACTTCCAGACATCGGGAGTACAAATGGAATTGCAAAATGGAAAATTCCTAGACAATGGTGGTTGTGGTTATATTCTGAAACCAGAATTCTTGAGAAATCGCAATTCAACATTTACCCCACACAATGTGGGAAGATACAGTAAACCAATGTCTCTGTCAATAAGGGTAAGCTTAGTCAATTCTTGGTTTGTTCCATAAAATGTGAAAACAAACATTATGTAGTTCAGACCTATTTGTTATCTATTATTGGTTTCTCATTTTATCCCCATTCCTGGTTGTTGGGAAGTTTAATATTGTTTTTTTAACAACATGTTAAAACTCTTATATAGTATCTACTGCTGCTTGGACAGTTTCCCATCTGTAGTTCACTTACGTTTGTCAAAAATATGTAGGTGTTCAGAAGTTATAAGAGTTTGTAGAAATACATGATTTTTCACAGTTTGTGTACAGAAATATAAATATAACTTACACTGTGCCACAAGTGTATCTGACAAAGGGACTTGTCAGTTACAGTTGTGGGGACTGAACTCTGAAAACTCAGAAATCGAATGTGCAATTTTGGTGTTATTTTCTTTAAGTGTTCGTAATACCACATACACTATTATAATGCTAATTGACAAATGGAAATGTTTAAAGATACGATAGGAAGCTTTATGCTTCTTTTAAGTTTCATCATCTTCCCGTGCATACATAAAAGAATATTTATCATCCTAAGATGATATAAATAAGTGTAAAAAGGGGGATGAATCAATAAGCCTTTAAATTATTTCTACTTCTCTCAAATTAAAATCTGATTTACTTAAAAATATTAGAAATACATGTCATTTAAAAATAATGGGTTAGAAAAACCCTTCTTTTGAGGTCAAGTAGATGTTTTATAATTGTTCACTAGTTAGAAAACTACCTTTTCCCAATGAAAAAGTGCTATTTCTGATTACACAGTACAATACTTGCATAAATATTATTTAATTAGCATAAAATTAGTGTATAATTGCTATTTTGTTTCTTTCAGAGAAATAAATAGTGGCGATAAAACATTAGCTAATAACAATTATAAAATACTTACATAATGCATGCACCTAATCAAGAACATTTTAGTGTCCTAACAGTGAGCATACCAATTATGAATAGACATTACTGGATTTCAAGCTGATTTCAAGCACCCATGCATATACATCAGTTATTTTAGCCCTTATTTGTATAAAGCTGGAGTTAATTAAGATGAGGAAAAATCCCCAATTGTAATGCAGGAGACAGACAAAATCATTGACAATGGGGAAGAAATGTCTGAATTTGGAAGAAGTTGGAAAAAGAGAAAGGCAGCTTTTTAGACTGAGGACGTAGGCTGAGATGACAGACTGGGTAGTGCAGAATACAAAGAAGCAATCCCACCAGCTGAGGGACTGTAGTGTGCAGAGAACCCCATTCATCAAGTCGGCAGCAAACAACAGGAAATGGTGGTTGAAGACAAAAAGTCAGGAGCAGGAGACAAAGGAAGAAGTTGCTGCTAAAGAAGAGTTACTAACTTGATGAATGGAGAAATTACTTAAGAGGGCAAAGATATAAAACACCTAGGGGTCAAATCTTTCAGACTGACTGTGAATGAATGAATGAAGAGAAGAACATAAATGAACACAAAAATCACCCAGAGTCCAATTTTACTGAATTCAATACCCTTCTTAACCTGGTGTGCCACAATTCCTATCAACAAGAAGCCTATAACCTTTGAAGCAGAAATACAAATATTCAAAGTGTTTCATATGGAAACTTCTGAGCCTACGATGTTATTTACCACTCTCTCTGTACACCTGCTTCACCTTGGGTCTCAAAAATTGATTGGATTTACAGATTTGGGTCATAGTGTGCTAAAAACAACTCACTCTTTTCCCACCCTGTGGGAGACTTAGACTGCTTCTAGCAATGGGGTAAGAGTGGGAAATAGGACTTGGCCAATGTGGCTGAATTTTTGTCATGACGTTTGGGGCATGTCAAAGAACCTCCCCTGGTTCTAAGTGGGCAGTTCATCAGTGCTTGCATCTTGCAAAGCTTTCCAGTGAAGGTAGTAGCTATATTCTAGTAAGAAAGTGGACAGCATCAGGGTTTGCTAAGCTACTGCTCTTCAATGTTTCAGGCTAGAACTTTACCCGGAGCAACGTGTTACAGAAAATACCTAAGCAAAAGGTGGAATTTGTGGGGTTTGTTTTTTTGGGGGGTTGACAGGGGAATAAGAATCTGTATCATGAGTTTTGATGCTTAGTCCTGAGATCTGGATCATAAGAGTCATATTTTTCACCTAGGCTTGCAGACTTGTATTATCTCTCTTGATACATTCCATACATTGATCTCTAAAAAGCAGATTACTGTACAGATGGTTATTATCTCCTAGGTGTCCTGAAATATGGATAGAAAGCAGACAAAATTGTGATGTTCATAAATGCTTTCTTAGGCTGGGTGCCAGATTACAGGGCAGTCTGAGGCAAAATTTCCAGGTAGCTAACTAAATTAAGGAGAAAAACATCAGAGAGCCTACTAAATGCAGAGTTTTTGTGTGTTACTGTGAAAGAGAAGGAACACAAGTGAGACACTCTGCTACATACCCTGTAACACAATGCTGATGTCACTGTGGGTGTTAACGCTGGTCCACTAGACACAGCTTTCACAGAAATTCACGACCTTGATCTCAGAAAATGCAAAAATTATGGGACTGATTCCTCCAACATTATTATTTTGCATGGTAACCAAATATAATTTTTATGGCTAGTTATTGAATAAAAAAGCTTAAATCTGAAAATAATTATTTAAAGCATGATATCAGATTTTTTTTCTTTTTTTATGAAACACTGGAACAGGTTGCCCAGAGACATGGTAGATGCCCTATGCCTGGAAATGTCCAAGGTCAGGTTGGACACGGCTCTGAGCAACCTGATCTAGTTGAAGATGTCCCTGCTTATTTCAGGAGGGTTGGACTAGATGACCTTTAAAGGTCCCTTCCAACCCAAAGTATTCTATGATTCTATGATTCTATGATTCTATTATTCTATGAAATTAACCAAGTATTAAATTAAGTAGGAAGCATCATATTCTTAATTTCATTGTGTTTAATGTGTATTTTTATAACAGTTTATGGCTGGTATATTCTTCTTATAGTAGTTTCTTATAGAACAGTTTTTGCTACTATGGCTACTATATGGCTACTATGTAAAGTTCATTCTTACAGTTATTTCAATATATTACAACTTTAATTTTCCAGCTCATCTGTGGTCATCAGTTACCACCCAGTAACCTGTCGAAGACCAACAAAGCTGACCCTTTAGTGCAGATAGAAATTTACGGTGTGCCAGAAGATCAAGCAAAAAAAAAATCTAGTGTTATAAAAAGCAATGGTGAGCATCAGTCTTATTCTCTTGACTGTGAACAAAACTCAATAATATTTCATAAGGAATTGCCATTTTTCCATCCCAATAAGCTGTTGTGTACTTACAGAGACTGCAATTATTTCTCTCTAGACTAGGATCTTCTGGCACAAAAATCTGTAGCAGAAGTTCATGCTACGTGCCATTTTTGTAGACTAGTAGGTTAAGAAAGCATGAACTCTCTTCGTGGCACTCTCCTGAAGGAAGATGGAATGCATTGTCCTTACTCACTGTTGTGGGCTCACCCAGGAGAGTATCTAGCCCCACCTAGCTCCTTGCTCAGTCTCCCCCAGCGGGATGGAGGAGAGAGTTGGAAGGGCAAAAGTGAGAAAACTTGGGTTGAGATAAAGACAGTTTAATAGGTAATGCAAAAGCTGTGTGTGCAAACAAAGCAAAACACGGAATTAATTCACCACTTCCCATTGGCAGGCAGATGTTTAGCCATTTCCAACCCAAAACATAGCACTATATGTGTTGATATGAAGAAAATGAACCCTATCCTAGCCAATCCCAGTACACTAATCGGTAAATTTAAAGGCATTTTTCCTGAAGAAATTTCTGTGACATCATCACTTAGCTCATATGAAGTTTCTAGTAGGACTAGTCCCTTAATTGCTTGACAGGTGAAGCGTGTACTCTTTGTAGTTGTCTTCAAGCACTCCCTTACCTTTATCATATAGATCTTCTCGATGTCTCAGATTAAAGGTTCCCTGTGATCTCCCTTCTTCTATGCCTCTGTCTCATATTTTTCCTTTTTCCTTTTTGTAAATGGCTGCTGTTTTAAATCAGCCCCTGAATTCTCTTTCTCTCTGTATGAACATTGCTCAAGACAAAGCACCCCCCTCCTGTTCCACATCCTCTTTTTGGATTTTTAGTCAAGTGATTGCTTTACTACCTTAATTTCTTTAGCTCCTGCCTCATTTCCAGCACTGTAAAAGGAGAAACTTTGGCAAAAACATGAAACTGGTATGGCTATAGGAAAATCTGAGTTGAGCAGAGGTTCTTAACCTGGCTATCACTGTCCCATTTTGCTCTCTTCTAAGAGATGACACCAACTTTCTTAGGCTTTTGATTTACAGTATTATGTAGCTAATACATGACAAATTCTTAGAAGGGTCTGGCCTGCATACTGTAGGCAAGTCCCAAGCTCTCTCTGCTTCATTCTGAGAGCTTCCCTCTGACAGTTTTAACTCCATAATCTATACAAAAGACGTGACCTATGTATCATTGCAGTCAGGGGGAAATCTCATCATTTACTTAAATGGGCACAGAAATCTAGGGAAAAGAGATTTACCAGTTCAGACTAGTGATAGCAGATACTCAGATAGTGAGATACTCAGACTACTCAGACTAGACTACTACTGCTAGACTACTCAGATACTCAGACTAGTGATAGCAGATATTCAGATATTAAGTAGAATAAATGAAATAGTATTTTGATACTGTGTATTTTCTCTTTTCATTAGCTTTGAACCCTAGATGGGATGAAACTTTCTCTTTTACTGTCCAAGTTCCAGAACTGGCATTGATACGCTTCTGTGTGGAAGATGAGATATCTTTGGTTGCAAATGAATTCCTTGGTCAATACACTTTACCACTGCTGAGCTTGAGTAAAGGTAATATTTTTGTGAGCCAAGTATAACAGCTCAGAAAAATCTACAACATTCCAGGCTTTTATCATTACTGTGGTATTGATAGAGTACAGCATTATGTTTATTTCCTAAAGGAGAATTGTGTAACCATAGGTAAAAATTGCACTCTGATTTTTTAAGTCGTCGTAGTCTCTGACTGCAAATCCACGGTGTAGAAATCAAAATAATATTAATGACAGTTAATTTTTTCTACTGCAGTATTCCATTCTAGATAAAAACTGCTCAGACAGTATTTTAACTCATTATAATAGGAAATAGGAAGGGAGATTAGTCAGAACTAGTACAAAGGCAACAGTTTTGTGCATTTTCTGCTCAGTTAGGCTCAAAACCTAATACAAGCCAAATTAAAACAAAACAAAACAAACCCCAAAACTTCAGGTAACCTATCTGCAACTTTTCAGAGTGGAAAACAAACAATATAAGTTAAGCAAAATATTTATAGTATTTTTCTTGGTAGTGTTTCTTTTATTGTACCAGTATAGCTTCTGGAATCCTACATGATTAATAGTCTGCACATAAAGAGCAGACACAGAAGTCAGTAGGCCAAGGAGAGAGGTTTATGTAAAATGGTTGTTTACTATATTGAATTTCCAAAGCTACTTCTGACAAAACAACCGATTTTTATTAGTGAATGAAGTTGTGAAGACAAAACATTGGAGCTGGCAATAGACATTCTGCCTTTTTTACTAAGCTTAACAGGATTTTTAATGGCTTTTTCTTTCCAGGTTCTGAAGTCATAAAGCTGTTTGTGATTCTTAATTGAGGTTGAGGAGTTACACAAGAACAAAGACATTACTCTTAAAGCACACTTGCTTTTCTCCAACATAAATTTTTACACTAATCACCTTTTACTTTCCTTTTTTTTTTGTGTACTTCAGGATAATGAAAAAAAAAAAACCCTGCCAACTCACACGCCTGAGACAAATTTAAATAGCAGACACTAAAGCTTACATATGCTTGTAAACCCACCAATTTGGGCTGCTTTTTTTTTTTTTTGGTATAATTTTTAAGTGTGTCTCTAATGTGCCTGTATAATTAATTTTGGTCACAAATGGGGGATTCATATTTTGGAAAAGTAAGTGTATGCAGATTCTACAGGAAGGATTTTGAGTGGGGTAATTCAAAATGCTAGGAAATGAGTATAGGTACAAAAACTGTAAACACTGCCAAACAAATTGCCCCAGCCCCCACTTAACACAATGTAAAAATATGTAAGATGTCATCAAGATGCCCAGAGAAATAAATAAAATGCTTCTAACAGATGAACTGACAGATAATTTCAAAATTTATTGCAATGCTCAACATTGAGACCTCTGGATTCCAGGTCTGGAACCATGGTTTTGCTTTAGGTACCTAAGCTCCCTAAATAGTGACAGGGGAAAATAATGTGTCTTACAGAAGGAGTCACAACAGTCTAGATTTCTTAGGAAAGAACTGTCTAAACCATGCTAAAGAGTGAGTTAGGATTTAAATCTTACTCTTCACAGCTCCAACTGCTTTAATCTGCACTACAGGATTGTCCCTCCTTCCCTAGGATTCATATCCCTGAGGTGTCCCCTGAGGGCAAGTTGCTTCCAAAAGCTGAGCAGTGCTTACATCTTTTTTTTTCTTTGACAGGCAGTGGGACAAAGTTGTGCCATTGCCACCCTCCCCTGCATTTTCTCTTGGAAGGGTTCAAATATATATCATCACTGCCTTCCTTTCCCCAGCAGCAGCCTCCCAACTCACCTGTAGATTACACTGGGGAAGAATGCTAGCTGCCAACCTGTAGCAGTATTTGATTTTTCATGCAGTGATTAAGTAGGTATACTCGGAAGGGCTGAAAGTGAGAATAATTCTCTAGCTGAGTGGTTAAAGGCAAGAGGAGGAGGGTCCTGGGTTACAGTCCCTGTCCCAATGAGTCTGCCATGTAGAATACTAATCATAGAATCATACAATCATTTAGGCTAGCAAAAACCTTTAAGATCATCAAGTCCAACTGTTAACCTAGCACTGTCAAGCCCACCACTAAACCATATTCCTAAGCACCACATCTACACATCTTTTAAATACCTCCATGGATGGTGACTCAACACTTCTCTGGGCAGCCTATTCTAATGCTTGATAACTCTTTCGGTGAAGAAATTTTTCCTAATATCCAATCTAAACCTCCCCTGGTGCAACTTGAGGTCATTTCCTCTTGCAGTAATACAGGACAGGAATTCAATTATTATTGCTGTTATCACTGGATCAATGAATAGTTAATTATTTCATACAAATTGGAACAATCTCAATAAAAAAGAAGTTTTACACTTTGTAGAATATTCTGTAGGTAGGGGTTAGAACACAGTCTTTAGAAATGAGTCTTAGTCCTTGAAGTGTATCTTTGGAAATAAACCAAGTCCTCCACATACTGTGTGCATGCTCTAAAAGTTGATCTCAAATGCATATTGCCTGGACTCAGCTTTAATATCTGCTGTCCAGAAGCTGAACCTTAGATGCCAGGTGAACTCTCATGTCGTGTAAAAGAATCAAGAAAATCCAAACCCAAATAAATGAGGGTCCCAAAGACTACACACACATCCAGACACACCTAAAGAAGGATTTTCAAAACTGCAGTTCTGAACGTAGATGCTTATTCATAACAGATACTTACTGAAATAATTGCATTTTTATATATATAGATAAACCACAGAACTTTTTTTTAATCAAAAGTGACATTGTTTATTATTATTGAATAATGGACATTTACAGTCATATAAAGAAATACAAGTTTGGGGTTTTGGAGAGGGGATTGTTTTGTTTTTTGAGCAGGTAAGTTAATTAATTTTGAAGTTGAGAACTATAGCTTCTCCAAATGCTTCAACAACTAGATGAATATGTAGTTTCTGAGGCATGTCTTACCTCTGGTATTGGGAATCACTCATGTAAAAGGACATCCTTAACAGACTTAAGATGTCGTGGTAGAAGATCTTACACTACACATTTTTTCTGCCTCAGCTGGACAGTGCTTTACTGCTGCAACACCATTCTTCTCTAAGGCACTATCACTGTTGATTCACAAGTTATTTAATTTGCTATCAGAACAATGCATGCAGTGCATAACATCTTTGGATGTTAAAAAGTATGCTTCCCCCATGTTTAAATATCACCACCTTTGACAACATCCTTCTCTCTAAACTGGAGAG